TGGCAGGGGGTAGAACAGGACATGACCCAAGGATCTGGTTGTTCTGTCTAAGGCACAGAGAATCTGCAATGAAAGCTGAACCCTTTCAGGCCTGTCAGACTTCATCACGTGTGGAAAGCAATGAGTCGTCTGAATTGAGAAATGAAACTCTTGGGCACTTTGAAATGCATTATTTCCCCCTAATTTGTCATTTTGTGTATCAACAAACACTGGGTTTGGAGATCTCCCTTTATGAGGTGACCTACAGTAGCAAAGGAGAGGGGGTACCAGAAGGCCTTGGTGCTGAATTTTTCCCAGGGCAGCAGCAGTTATATCTTAGTGCTATCATTTTGTTGATATGATTTGTCTGACAAGACTATTTGGATTGTCAATGGAATCAGTTCAATACAAAAAGACTTGATTTATTCTTTTTTATAAGGAACTTTTACTAATTCCAGTTTGGAAGAAAAGTCTGTTTTTTTTTTTTTTTTGCCGTTTCAACTTTAAGAACAATTCCATGTTTACATAAATCTATCCACTTGCCACATATGGTTCTAATATTTCTTTATTAGTCCCATCTACTCCTTCAGATTTGTGCAGACAAGATAGCTGGCCATAGCTCTCTTACTTTTTTCATCTTGTTTTAATAAACTGGTCCAGGCCTTCTACCCAAAGAACAATATCTAAAATCTCTTTGTGCAAAGCATTTCCAAAATGGAATGACCAAAGCGTGCTGGAGCTACTCCGGAAAACTTTATATTTTTGTGATCCTATGACAAAAATGCCTTACATTTAGGGAGTTCACGTTATTATTATCATTTTTTTTTTTCACTAGGGGAGACACAAAAGCATCACCCTTGGCACTTTTTGTTGGCTTACCCTACTCTATGGGACACAAATGCGAAGTTTGTTGGGATGATTTACTTGGTTCTGATCCCTCTTCATCCCCTACAGCATTTGAATTCTCATCCAGCCTTTTGGGGATTCTTTTTTCCCTTACAGTGAGGAGGCGCACATTGATGGGCATGCTGAGGAAAGAGAAGATCATGAGTATTACAATGAAATCCCAGGGAAGCAGCCACCTGCAGGGGGTGTTTCAGATGTGCGGATCAAGGTTCAAGCCACAGATCAAATGGCTTACTGCCCCATACGGTGTGAGAAGTTGTGCTATTTGGTAAGCAATGTTTTATTATTACTGGAAATAGCAATGCAATTCTGCCCTTATCACTAGAGCACTTATTTTGAGGGCTTCTAAATGCTAGTTTAGAGAAAGTCCCATCTTCCTCAAATATGGGGCCAGAGAGTGAATCACTTTTGGAGCCTGTACTAGGTCATTTTTACTCCAGTCCCCTACCCGCAGCCTCAGCACATGACCTCATATCTCATTTCACTGGGAAGACTAGGGCAATCCAACATGTTATCCTCAACTTCACCCTTCCCCATCTCCAAGTCTTCCTGTATTCTCCATGCTTCTCTTCCTTAGCAACTGTCTCCAGAGCTAATCTTTTCCTGTGCTCCTGATCCAGTCCCTTCCTGCCAACTCTGTGCCCTTGCTCTGTCCATTAATCTCTGTCTGTCTCAATTTTTATTCTCTGTCTGTTCATTCTTTCCCTTCTACCTGCAAATAAACTTGGATTCCCCCAACCCAACTAACAATGTCCTGCCTGTTTCTCATCTTCCTTTTCTCCACAAACTTCTAGAGTATCGTCTCTACCCTTTGCTTTTGCATCTGTGCTATATTTCTAAGATCTGAACTCTGCTTGATAGAAATTACTTTTACAATGGTAATGTGTGCTTTAATTGCTAAATCTATTTCCTTTGTTGATATTCTGCATCTGTCTACAGCATTTAACACCTGTTGGCCGCCTCTTCTTTTTTAAGATCTCTTCTGTTAGCTTCCAAAACATTTCCATCTTGTCATTCTCTTCCTGTATTTCTAGGTGCTGCCTTTCTTTCTTTTTTCTAATTTTCTCATGTTTTACTGAGTGTTTTCAAACCTACAGAAAAGTTGAAAAAATTATACAGTGAATGCTCATGTACTTGCCATCTAGATTCTACAATTTAAATTTTTTTTTTTTTTT